AGACCAGATTTCAAAAAGTAATTCAGATGAACTTATAGAATTATCCTATGGAAAGTCATACACTTGGATTATAAAAACAATTCCGAATGAATTTTATAACAATTACAATGATATTACTGTAAAAGCAATTATTGGTGAGGAGTCAACTAGTGAAGTACGGATTTTAGCACCTACTAACAAAGAAGATAATTACATTTTAGAATATAAATTGCTCGAAAATGGAGATATCATATTGGCTTATTCTGAAGGTATAAGAGTTTTTAAAATAAATTCTCAAATAAAAGAACTTGTCACAATTTATTTTTGGAGTGATGGAGGTAAAAACGAAAAAGAAACAGCTCAACAATCAACTAAAAGACAACTTACTTCCTTTATTAAAAAGATTAACAAATCAAAATTTAAAATTTTGCCACCACCAACATTTGATTATGTTTTGATTAATGACTTTATGAATAATGAAATGGCATTAAAATTATATGGAAAAGATATGTTATATCAACTAGTTCAATTAAACTACGAATCTGAAACTGACGAATTATTTGTTAAAATTCTAAACGATAGTATTTCGGCATATAAGAGTGGTGATGTTTACAACTTTATGTTGTTAACAAGTCAAATTGCTTTTGCGCTGACAAAATTAGAAAAATTTAATAAAAATTTAAAAGTTACTGAAAGATTTTTATCTAAAATTAATTTACTAGTTCCTGGATATGCTATAGGCACTATAAATAATTATTCTGTAGTATCTCATTTTCACCATTGTGGAACTTATGACCATCATACGTCTTTATCTTTGATTTCATCATTTGATTACTTTCTTTTTTGGATCTCAGAAAAATGTAACCTTTTAGAAAAGGAATATCCCAAAATTTATAAAATTTTAGCAACTCCTTATTTATTTTACTCAGATTATTTCGCTAATTCTTCACAAAAAACTGTAATATTAACGATTCCTTTATTAAATTTTGCTACATATCCTGAAAAATATTCCTATTTTGAATTATTTTATTTACCTGATAGCTCCTTTACTTCACTTGATGCATCTGATTATTATAAATGGTGGAATATTAAAGCGCTTATTAACTTCAAATGGAACACCTATGGAAAACGTTATTATTTTATAATTTGGACTATATATTTAATATTTATGGGCTGTTTTTTAATAGTTTCTTCAATTCCAGAAAATGCTATTTCTTGGAATTATCAAGCAATTCTTTTGATATCAACTATTTTTTTTGGGTTCTTTCATCTTATTTTTGAAACTCGTCAATGCATTCATAAACCAATTTCTTATATTGCTAGTCTTTGGAATTGGTTTGGTATATATATTTAATTTAATAACATTAAAAGTTTTATTATTTAATTTAATTTGCTATAATTTTATTTACAGATCTTGCATCAATACTATTTCCAACAATAACGTCATTCATATGGTTACATGATGAAAAACCACAAATTTGGATTATGACTATTTCTTCATTCGTACTTGAAATTAGATTCTTATTATTTTTCCGTGCTTTGGATTATTTTGGAAAATATTTTGCAATTATGATTGGAGTAGCACAACAAATCTTTTCATTTCTTGTTGTTTTGGCCATTTTGGTTTTAGCCTTTGCCCACTCTTTACATCTTTTACTAAGACCTACCAGTGATTATTCTTATGATCAGCCAAGTAATACCGATGATGCTAATAATCCTTGGAATCTTGTTTCAACTTACAAATTTATTTCATCTAATGGCGCTGTTGGAGAATCATCACTTATTGAAGCTCCTGATGATAATACTAATTTATTTACGATGTTTAGTACTTCTATTTTAGCTGTATATTTTATGCTAACAGGTATTATACAATAATAATTTGAACAAGATTATATCAAAAAATCAATAATATATTTGTTTTTAGGCGATTCAAGTGCAGTATCTCCGTGGGGTTTAGTCAATAATTGGACTTTAACATTTTTATTAGTTATATTTTCATTTTTCACAACGATCTATTTATTGAATCTGTTTATTTCCTTACTTGGAAATGCTATTAATCAAACGTATAATGAAGAGTCTTTTTTACAATTAAGAGGAGAGGTGAAATTTTCTTGTTAATATTTTATAAATGTATTACTGTATTATAAATTATAATTTAAAAAATTAAAAATAATCATATTATTACCAGATACTAGCTGAAATTGAACTTTTTTGGATGCTTCCACATCAAAGAAGAAAGAAAAACTGGTTTCCTGAAATTTTGTAACTATTATTTATTTATCTACATTGCAAATATTATATATATGTTAATATATGATTTAAATGTATAGATATTATGAGGTTCCAGTTCAAGAACTTAAAAAATATATAAAAAATCTTAATGATGAACAAGAAGATGAAATTTTACAGGATTTACTTCCTGGAATCAAAAAAATCGCTGGAATTAAAGAAGATGAAGATAAAGACTCAACTAAAGACTCAATTGAAGACTGGCCCTATAGCCTCATCACGAAAGAATAAAGGTTAGAAATTACCTTTTAGATATAATAACAATAAATTAGAAATTTCACATAGAATGTTATAATTGACAAGGCACCTGAAACATTCTAAAAGTGTTTTATAATAAAATCAACATAAATATAGCGATAGAAAGGTTTATGACTAGTATACTCGAATTCAATATTTAAGTTTCAAATTTTATGTATTTTTATTAGTTATATTGTATTCAGGATTATGTAATATGCCGTGGATTCAAAAACAGTAGGTTTACAGTATATCCAACTCAAAACCTTTCATAGTCACTGATTATATCACGAGATAGCATTAGCTAATATAGTTATGCACAGATATCTTTTCTTATATACAATTATTCAAGCAAAAGAGTTAATTTCGCTAGACAATATTTTCGTGCTACATAATATAAAGTATTTTCTATTACTATTTTCTTATACTATATTGTACATATTCACGTTGTTGAACAATGTGAAAAGACTTAGCTAACATGAGGTTAAATTATTAAGAGTTACAAGCATAGATTATGCGCGATGGATATTTATAATGGATTCTGATTTAATGATAGTTGGGTTATTAAGGAATGTATTTTAGTTGTTAGGTAGGGTTAAAGATATGTTATTACCTCGTTATCATGCAACACGTAGAACTCTCTCTCTTTAGTAGTTTAATGTTATATTTATACATTTCAAATTGCCATGGTATGAAACCAAAATTTTGGGTTCGAAACAATATCAGTGGTCTCAAACTAAGATTCGAGCCATTGTACGTGATCTCAAACCAATATCTGTGGTTTCAAATTCATGCACAGCCACTCCATAACAATATAATAAGAAATAACAATATAATATAGAAAATATGACAAGAAAATTTAAGCACAATTTTTGGTAACAACGTATGTACATCCATATAAGGAAGATGGTCTGATTGGCTACCCATTTTAATTTAATTTTGCATTACTTACTACTTTAAAGAAGAAAAAAATAACACATAAGATCTTTTATAGTATAGATGGGCAATATAGAAATATTATAAGACTATAATATATAAAAATTCTAACCCTAATCTACTGTAACTTTAATTTAAACTAAACTAACCTACAACCCTCACCCTAACCCTAACTATTTATAAATTTGCTTAAATTAGTTCAAAATAGTTATTTTCATATACTATAATTTTATAATTATTCTATATTACCCAACTATACTCTAGACTAACCGCTATGGCGGTAGTTAATTTGTATTGGAATTGAAAATCATGACTTTGTCATTATTTACCATAAAAAATTATGCTACAATTAGTGCTCGGCAAAATCAAGCAAAAACTCGATTTTCGAGCTTTTGAAAAAGTTGAGCATCTATCGGTTACACAAATAGGGTTTTAAATTATATTAAATATTTTTCTTAAACTTCAAAATACGATAGTAATATTCAATATAATTTAAACCACAATTTGTGTAACCGATAGATGTACAACTTTTTAAAAACTCGAAAATCAAGTTATTGCTTCATTTTGCCGAGCATTAGCTACAATTCTTATTTATAGACTATTGTGATAGTACACAGGAGTTAGTCGGATTTCTATTGTAAAAATTTCGTTACAAGCCCTATTTGCTATTGTAATGATGTCATTAAGGTTGAGTTTGCTTGTATTGGAGTTGACAGTCGTGATTTCTATCGCGATTACTTCAAAAACTTCTGTTACAAAAACTTTCTGACAATAGCGTAGGGATTGGAAGCATAAAAATTTTTATAGTGTCAGGCCGAATTATGTTTATCACAGGCCAGAACAATTTTAATGCCGGCTAAATTAAACATTAAATACGGTTAAACGATTAAACGGTTAAGAAAATTTTAAATGGTTCCAATCCCAATTATAGCAGTGACAAAGTACATTTTTGAGTTAGTTGTATCAAAATTACATTCATAATTTCTATCATGATTTACTGTAAAAATTTTGTTATAAAACTTGCTATTGTGGTATGTAGTTGATTAGAAATTTTCATCATAATTTATTGTACAATTTGCAGTATATTTTTTTAGTTAGGTTGTATTGGAATAAACAGTTATAATTTTCTATCTTGATTTACTGTGAAATATTTTGTTACAAAATTTACCAACTATTATAGTGACAAAAACGTGGCTAAGCTTGATTGGTATTAGCGTGATTAAACAACTATTAATGAATTAAAATTTGAATTGTGTTAACATTCTTGATCATAACTTGCTTATTGATAACATTTTGATTACCGTTGTTACTACCAAGTGGGAGAGCGTATGGCAATAAAGACTGATTAGCTTTGACAGTAACGGGAAGAGAATTGGGTGGAGTTAATAATACAGATAAGGTGATGTATCGGGTTCTTCAGGGGGTGTATTAGGGGTGGGCGATTATACAATTCGGGACCGGTAATTGTTGGACGGATTTGGGGTAATTATGATATGAGTCAGCAATTACGATTCGGATAAATTAATATGTGATGTACAATTAATATGTATGCGCTGGACACTTTAAGTGTATGCGCTGTATAATTTAGATAATTTAAGACGGAGAATATAATAAATAAGTTTATTAAATATTTCTAATACGTTGAGATATGAAACTAAAACTGAAGATAACAAAAGTAAAACAAAGAATAAATAGATAAAAATAAATAAATATGTATAGGTTAAGCAGGAAAAATAAATAAAAGAAAATAACAAAAAGAAATGAATAAAGTCAAAATAATCAAATAATAAACTACTACTAAATGAGAAATCCAATCTATCTAAAACGAAGTCTGGGAGTTCAATTGAGGGCGAATACAACGCCTATAAATACATGTTTTTCTTATCAGGACCTACATAAAATCCCACACTCAATCCCAACATTTCTTCATTCTACCGCTGCTCAACTCTTATCAGTGGAGCTTTCATGCCTTTATCGCCAAATTACAAGTAGTGATACAAATCGAAAATCGAAAAATCGATTAGTTGACAACTAATCGATTAATCGATTGAAAATTTTTTGGCAACTTATATTAAAATCGAATAAGTATCGAACAAAAATCGACTGAAAATCGAATAATCGTTTAGTTGACAACTAATCGATTGCAAAATTTTTGACAATTTGTATCACTAATTACAAGGTGACTATGAAAAGTATGGTCTATCTAAGGTTACGTGACAAGATCAACAAGATAGAGTGACACGATCATCCTAATTTGGCATATGAACCATATGCCTGGCGCCGGGGATGTGACAGGTATGTTAACACCGTATTGGGGTATTAGATACCAAATAATTTACTATCATAGTGCAGCACTATATGATTGGCCTACTATTTAAATCTTTAAAATTTTGTCGATCAATTTATTAAAAAAATTTATCATAGTAATTTTATAATAAAAACCGCATATTTTTATCTCTCATCTAGCAGAGCAAATTCAATTCTTTAAATTGTGAATGGTATATAAATAGGATGTTTTTAAAAATATGTTGAGATATTTTTCATTTCATTTTATTAATTTGTCTAAAATTACGAATTAATAATTATTTTAATGATTAGGTTATAGATAACTACTAAAATTTGCATATTAATATTAAATATGGCAACAAAGTTTTAAAAACACACTATTTATATGCCATTTACACATTACAGAATTAAATTTGCTCTACTATAACGGGAGTTAGAATGTTTTAATGATATTATTTAAACAATTAAGTTATAGAGACCTACTAAAATTTATATATTAGATTAGATATAGCAACATAGTTTTAAAACTACACTACGTTTATATCATTCGCAAGTTACAATCGAATTTGCTTTACTAGAAAGGGAGTTACAACATTTTAAAAATACATAGTTTCTATTATATAGTAATAAATTTTTTTAATAAATTGATCGACAAAATTTTAAAAAATCTTACATAGTAGGCCAATCATATAATGCTGCACTATAATAGTGAATTATTTGGTATCTAATACCCCATTACCATATGGGCGGATTTGACTCCAATCACAAAAAATGTGATTATTGCAAACATTAACACTGATTGGTCAATTTATTGAATTCAATAGTAAATTTAGGGCTTTGTAAAAATAAAACTATACCTTTTTTTTCTAAATATATTACAGTCTAAATTTTATATTTACGTTTGACAAGACCTTAGTTTTAGAGATCCCAAAATAATTTTTCAAGATTTCAAAATAGCCATAACTTTTACTAGTGACAGTGCTGAAGGTTTTAATATATAAAAACATAGGTTCATGTGCAATATGTGGCACAGACAACCTTATAAAAAGTTTTGCAAACTGAGATCAAGGTTTTTACTTAAAGCTATGCAAAGTCCCACTGCTCCAAAT